AAAACAGATGGAACTTATTATAGTCAATCCAGTTAGATAAGGACAATAATGAGGCATACCTTTTGAAAACAAGGGGCTAATTTTCTTATTTCATTATATATATTTTCAGTTTTTTAATTTGAGCTTCTTGTGGTAACATTACAAAGTATGATTTTATAAATCAAAATAACTTTGGGGGTTTTACCATTTTTTTAAATGTCAAAAAAATAACAGTTCTTCATAATTAAATGATGAAAGTTTTAGTCTCACCTTACCTGAAAAAGCATTTTGGCCAGAATGAAAACTCTGGCCAAAAATATGGCCAAAAAAATCAACATTATCTGGAAATTAACTAAAGGCTTACAACAATCTAAAGAGTGTTTCTTTAAGGGAAAAACAACCCAAACAACTTCCTTAAGAACTCCAAGCTTTGTGTTGTTTTCACTTGCTCTGTTACCTTTTCCCTCTTTAGCTCCGCACTGATCTTGAAAACCAATAGCCTCACAGTCACAGTAACTATGCAAACCAGAGCCTAGTGTCCACTAGAATTGGCAGTTTGGAGCTTTTGTGAATTGAAGGGAGAAATAGATAATTCCGCAATAATGGTTTCAGACTTCAATACCCCACTTTCAATTATGCTTAGAATAACTACCAGAATACCAACAAAGAAACAGAAGATTTGGATCCTATATAATAAAAGGCTAATATGCAAATAGACTGGAGTACGACGACTGGTTGCTATGATGTACACTAACCACCAGGGGGCAAGACACTCAATGCAGGAGCTGCCCCTGTTGGTCAGGGAGCGTCGTTCATCCAGAAGCCAGCCTCACGGCTGGTGAGTGCAGTGGCGGTGGCGGGAACTTCTTCCGCCTCCATGGCAGCACTAAGGATGTCCGACTGCTGGCTTTAGCCTGTTCTGGGGAGTGGGCCTAATGTGGCAGTTGGACATCCCCTGAAGGCTCCCAGACTGCGAGAGGGCGCAGGCCGGGCTAAGGGACCCCCACCCCTGAGTGCACGAATTTCGTGCACCGGGCCTCTAGTAACACTATAAAGCAACTAGATTTGACAGAGACATCTGTAGCACACTCACCCAGTGACAGCAGGATATGTATTCTTTCCAGGTCCAAATGGAATATCCGTCAAGATAGGACACAAAACAAGTCTTAATTGAAAAGATACCAACCCTTCACAAGATCAGAAGACTTCACTTGTGAATCCTCTCAAACTTTTAAAGAAATTTTAATATAAATGCTTCTCAAAATATTCAGGAAAAAAGGTGGGAGAGAACACTTTCCAAAGCATTCTGTGAGGACAATATTACCTTGATAAAACCAGACAAAGCTGTCACAAAAATAACATCCCTTATGAATATCCCTTGTGAATATAGACACAAAATCCTTTTTTTAAAAAATGCCTTCCTACTACAGCAACATATGTAAACGATTATACATTATAACCATTTGAGATTAATTAAGGAATACAAGATCAACAAATAAAAATTAATCTAATCCTATATAATAAAAGCCTAATGCGCAAATTGTCACCTCGACCGGGAGTTCGACCACTTGCTGTGACGTGCACTGATCACCATGTGTGGCTCGGAACATGGCGGGCGTCGGCGACGCAGTGCTGGCAGTGGGCGGCAGTGAAGGTGCTGCCAGCCCTGATGGGCCCTGACAAGAGCAAGATGGCAGTGAGATGGTGGAGCAGGTGAGCGGGCTGCACCAGGCCAAGGCAGGTGTGAGTGGGAGCCCAATCGTCCCCGCTGGTCGCACTGCAGATGGCGACCAGTGGGGGACGGGGCCGCTGCTTGGCTCCCAGGCGCTGAGGAAGAAAGGGCAAATAGCAATATTAAAATATTTCTTCTAATTATTTTCCTTTCAATGTGCACGAATTCATGCACCGGGCCACTCGTATGCCATACTAGACGCCCGATGCATGAAATTCATGCAAGGGGCTTGGCCCCTGCTGCCACAGCAGCTGCCTCTACCGCAGCAGCCGCCTCTGCCTTGGCCCCCGCCTCTGCGGCTTTGTCCAGAAAGTCGTCTGGCAGGACGTCTGGTCTAATTAGCATAATATGCTTCTATTATTATAGATTATTGGAATTAAAGGGAAAAGCTACCTGATCATCTCAGTAAACACAGATAAAGATTTGCCAAAATTCAGCACCATTTTGTGATTTAAAAAGAAAACATAATAAGCCAGGAATAAAAGGGCATTTCCTTAATCTGAAAATGAGCATGTATGAAAAACTCATAGGTAAACTAACATACTTGATGGTGAAAAACAGAAAACTGTTATCCAGATTAGGAACAAGATGAGAATGTCTGTTCTTGACCACTTTGATATAATTATTGAAGATTTTAGCCAGTGTCATTAGACCAGAAAAAGAAAAAGTATCAAGATTAGAAAGGAATAAGTAAAATGATCTGTTTGCAGAAGACCTGATTTTATAGATAGAAAATCCTAAGGAACTTACAAAAGGAAAGAAAAACACTAGTAGAACCTAAAAAGCAAATTCATCAAGGTTGTAGAATTAAATATACAAAATTTGTACTAGCAATGAACAATATGAAAATGAAATTAATTTCATTTACAATAGCATCAGAAATACTTAAGAATAAGCTTAACAAAATTAGGTCAAGACATTGACATTGAAAACTACAGAACATTGTTGAAAGATACAAGTGAAAAGTTACCCCATGGTCATGGATTGGAACACTTAAGTGCACGCTCTTCAAAATAATGTTAAGATTCAACACATTCACTAACAGAATCCCAGCTGGCCTTTCTCCCCACCCCCCCAAAATTGCTACGCCAACCCTGAAATTCATGTGCAAATGTAAGTGACCTAGAATATCTACCATGAAGCACCTTGTGTGATCTAATACACCTGATAAGGATTGGGAAAATTGAGATTGTCTTTTTTAATATAATTTGTGAAACAGTCTTTTTCAGTATAATATTTTGAAACAGTAGTTTTCATTAAAATTCCTTTCTGTGCTGTGAATGAATTTTCATCAGAATTTAGAACTGAGGATTTAACCAAATTATGGGAATTGTCTACCAAATAAGTTAATTGACAAAGCCAGTTCTCATTGTTCAGACATTCATCCATCTTTCATGTGAAGCCTGACTCTGCCCTTTTTGCTGATGGAAGAGGCAAGGTTTTAAACTAAAGTATTTTAGCACTTTCACTGTAATTAATTAGATAGCATGGTATGGACAAATTATTTTGTTTTATAAATTAGACTAGAGGCCCGGTGCACGAAAATTCATGCACTTGGCGGGGGGGGGGGGGTGTCCCTCAGTCTGGCTTGCCCCCTCTCACAGTTCAGGAGCTCTCAGGGGATCTCCTACTGGCAGCTTAGGCCCGCTCCTAAGCCACAGTCTGGCCTCTGTGGGAAGGGACTGGGTTGATCAGGGGAAGGTGCCACCCCCATCACCTTGCTGTGGCTACCTGAGCCCCGGGCCTCACAGCTCTGTGGCTTTGTCTGGATGGAAGTCCAAAGACATTCACCCTAATTAGTATATTACCCTTTTATTAGTATAGAAGGGCAATTGTGAAAGGGGAAGTGGCAAGTGACTGCTTTTAAGACACACAGGTATATCTGTTCTCAGGTAGATCTGTGCTTTTGAAGTTAAGGTTTTGTATACATACTCTCTTTAAAACAATCATGACTTTGCATCCCTTTTAAATCTTTTAACTTAAGGAATGTGCTGCCCCAGCTTGAAGACTAGTCTTCTACCTTACTCTTAGTCTTTTATGAATAAAATAACCTTGCAGAGCATGCATTTTATTTGTATGCATGTTGTGTGCAGGGATGCTATGTTGGTATACTCTGGTTCAGTTAGACCACATTTCGGCAGAGAGCCCATGCCTGTGCGGCTCATTTTTATCCTACATCCCTCTCCTGCACTCAAGACAGGTTTCTCTTGGTGTCCAGATAGAACCTCCAAATCCTCCACAATTGGCAGCTTTTACCAGCTGATTAGAGCTGGCATAGGAGGTGACTCTCTGTCATATGTAGCATTTTTATTAGTTTTCTCAGTCAGCCAACTTGTGTCTTTTCTCTTTTGTGATTTAGATTTTCTAATTACATTTTGTTTATTAATGTGATTTATTTTTTTTAAAAAAAGTATCCTTAAATCAGCTTGGAAATGTGTTTGGAGACAGTTCTACTTGGGGGTCTTGCTTTTTATTTTGTGAACAGAAGCTTTGGTTGCCTTTGTTCTGGTCTGTTTTTCAAGATTATTTCAATAGTGAACAGCTGTGGAAGATATAGAGTGACTCTAGAGCCACTGGATAGGTTTGCTTATAGTTTTGGAAGATAAGGGCTGGTTTCTCCCTTCAGAGCAAAGGGAGAAACTTACTGCCCATTACAAAGATTCAGGTTCCCAAAGCTCAGGGATCCTTTCCTATATCTCAGCGCACTACATGTTCAGGTGTCAGCAGCCCTGCTCACATTGCTCTGGAGCAAGAATATGCTGATATTCTGGCTACTCCTATTGTAATAAATTCGTGTGCCTCTCACCCAGGAGTCTTAATTTCTGCCAGTATTCATGAGATTGTGACAGGCTAACTTGTTAGCTTGAAAGTAGACTAAAATCTCAGCTCCTTCACAGTTCTTGACAATATGTAGGAAATACAAATAAAAAGGCAAATAAATAACTATCAGAGTTCAGCTCAGAAATGTAATTTTTACCCATGTTTTTCATTAAAATCAACATTATATCATATTTATATAAATGTAGCATGTATATTTTCCTTAGGTTAAAATAAAGGTTTGGCATAATTTTGCTATTTTAATGACAGTGTTAAAAGCATAAAAACCATCTGCTTTTCTTAAGCATATAATTTTGTATTGTGTGTATGGATACATATATACATATATATTGGGGTATATGTGTATATTCATGCTTTGAAACAACAAATCAGTCTTGCATTGCTTAATCACATTTTTAAGAATCTCAGTTCCATAGATGTCATTATATTGTATTATTTGCCTCTATTCCAGAATATTGGAAAGAAGATGACCTGCCAAGAGTTCATTGCAAACCTCCAAGGGGTCAATGAGGGTGGTGATTTCTCCAAGGATCTACTGAAAGTAAGCATTGAGATACTGGTTTTTAAACTATTCTTAGGTTTATATTTTCTTATGCATATATTTCTCTCCAAAATAGACAGGCTAAGGATCATATAAGCATTTTTGTTTTTTTTTTGTTTTTTTGCTTTTGGTTTTACTGTTGATGTTTCCACCGGGTCTTGTCCTTGATGCAAAGTACCCTTCAATTAATAGCTCCTAAAAGTCCACATTATACTTACTGATTGTAATCAATAATACAGACATAACAACTAGATTTAGAGTAATTGGTGATATAAATAATTGGTGGGCAGTTTTTGATATATTTATAAGCAGACTGTCAGAATTTGAGAGCAGTCACAAAGATATGTTCACTACGGAAACTAAATGCAGGTGCAGACTGTATTGGAAGCAGTTCAGACTGGATTCAGCCCCTAGTCCCACAGGCACTCAGGTTGTCTTTGGAAATAGATTAAATTAAGTCTGAGTGATTGTCGAATGCCTGAATTGCTTACACTCGGTTTTATCATTGGTAGCAGTCAGAGTGTTTTCCCGTGTCACCAGGCTATTTTCAAGGAGACAATTTGAAAATCATAACATTCTACAGAAGCATAAATGAGATGTGCATTTGATCAAATACAAGACAGTGATTGATCATGAATGTGACTATTTTAGAAGTTCAGGATAAGATATGTATGTTGAAAATGTGATTTTTACAGAGTTCTCTTTGTTTATAACCTTTTTAAAAACTTTGTACACATGTAGATTTCTTTTGAAATCAGTTTCTTTGAATGAATTTGCTAAGAAGGGTGACACATTTGAATCGTGTAATATGGAAGTGGACCAGTTAAAATATAAGTCCTTCATTATGTTTTATGCACTATAAAAATATAGTACAGTGAGATTGTTAGTCTTTCTGACTTTAATTGCAGCGTTTTAAAAAATTACATTATGAAAAAGACCCAGGAAGGAAAGTAGCTTCAGCTTAGTATATAAGGAAGGCATTTTTTATTGAGGTATAATTGGCATACAAACTTTATATTGGTTTCAGGTGGACAACTTAAGGATTCGCTATTTGTATATATTGCAAAATGGTCACAATAAGTGTAGTTAAACATTTGTCACCATACATAATTACAGAATTTTTTTTCCTGTGGTACGAACTTCTGAGATGTCCTCTCTCAGCAACCTTTACATATGCAGTACAGTATTATTAACTGTACTCGCCATGCTGGATATCACATCCCCGGGACTTGTTTTCTAACTGGAAGTTTGTACCTTTGACTCTCCTTATCTGTTTTGTCCACTCCTCTACCCCCTGCCACTGGCAACCACCTATCTGTTAAGGAAGGTATTTTTAAAGCTGTTTTCTAATAAAGCAAATGCTGCCATTTCTGAAGCTACAATCCTGAATGGGAAATAAAAGGTGTTGGATTGTGACATGATGAATATGTTCTGCACATTCTTTGAAGCTATACTGTGGATACGGGTTAACAAGTCTGCGTTCAGTCTAGCTGCATTAGCATGGAAAATAATGGAGTCTTTCTAAGGGAGGATTTGTGAGGCTTTTATCCAGTTATGTCAGAAATGAAAATTGACAAGAACATTTTTCATGTTGAAGCTTTTAGATTTTAGTGGTATACCGCCGTATGGTAGCATGCGACTGTGGGTAAATTACTGCGCAGCTGTAGAGCATGTTGGATGGCGCTGTCTGAAAGCAAATGTAGTTACCATCCAGTCCAGTGGCTACTGTTCACCTTGGGTAAACATATGTTCGCTGATTTACTCTGCCAAGAATTTGCCAGTGATTTGTTGCCATTGTACAATCGAGATCATGTTCACAAACCTCAGGGGAGAAAGTGTGTGTTATACTATTCTTTATTTACTGTGAGAAGATGACAGTGAAATGGCAGTGAAAAATGACAGTGGTGTTTAGCATGGAAGTTGTCAAGTAAAGTATTGATTTCCTTTCATAGCAAAGCCCAGCCACACACTGACCCAAGACAAGTTTTTCATTTTAGTAGGAATCTGGATTTTACTACAGATTTCAGCAAGAAAAGGTTTTCTTGAAACCATTTTTGTTTTATTTCACTCTTCTTTCTTTTCCCTTCCCTCCCGTCTCCTCCCTGTGACCTCACCACATCAAGACAGTAATCCATTCAATAAAATATGCCAAAACATCTGGCCTGTCTCATGGCTCTATGGGGCCTGCCCATCCCCATACTTGTATGTAGTTTGCCTTCAAGCATCATTGGGGACAAGGTGGAGAAGGGAAGGGTAGGTTCTATGTTTGGTTATGATAGATTTAATAAGGCATTCCTAAGACTCTCTAATAAATAGTAAAACTCTTAAGGACATGACTATAGAGGGATGGGAATGTAAAATGTGGGCCAGTTCTGGGTTGGAGGCTGAACTTTCCAAAAGATGGATGATTGTGATTATGGATTAGGGAGCTATGCTGATTGGGTTCTAATCCCAGCTTCCATCTCTTAATGACTGAGGGATATGAGCAAATTCATTTAAACGTTATCTCTTGATTTCCTTATCTGTGAAATGGGAGATTTTATTAGTTCTCACTTCATCTAGTTGTTTTAATTATTATAATTTTTGTTTAATATTATTTTATTTGTTACCTATCTCAAAGTGCACTGGAAAGGGATACCATCCCTTCCTGAAGTTACTTGAACCTTAAGAAGTTTTACAACTGCTAGGGTCAAGTATAATTAGTGTCGACAGACAAGAACTCTGTCCCCCATCCCTGCTTAGCCTAAACACACATATTCTCTTGCTCTTTAAAATGAACCATCTGAGACTTTGACCTTGAGCATTTCCTCCCATTGTAGTAAGATTTTTAATCCTTGTTATTAATGGCTTCCTTTTTCTCTAAAGACTAGTTGGTTCCAAAGAAGAGCCATAAGAATCCTCCATAAGAGGCATTTGTTTTATAAAGTCTTTCTTAACATTATATAGGTACCTTACATGAGCGAAGAGAAGAAACAATCTATATATATAAAAGCCTAAGTGATCAGCCAACCATTTGACCATTCGACTGTCCAACTGGTACCTATGACATGCACTGACCACCAGGTGGCAGATGCTCAATGCAGGAGCTGCCAAGCTGCGGTGACTTGGGAGCTGTGGTTCTTGGGTGATGCATCCAGAACCAGAGAGGAGGGAGCCCAATTCTGGTGTGCATCACCTGAGAACCGCCCTCTCACAATTTCCTAGGGGGAAATCGGAGAGCTAGTTTCGGCCTGATCCCTGCAGACCAGGCCAAGGAACCCCACCAGTGCATGAATCTGTGCACTGAGCCTCTAGTACAGTGGTTCTCAACCTTCCTAATGCTGTGACCCTTAATACAGTTCCTTATGTTGTGGTGACCCCCAATTTCATTGTTACAAATTGAACATAATTAAAGCATAGTGATTAATCACAAAAACAATATGTAATTATATATGTGTTTTCCGATGGTCTTAGGCAACCCCTGTGAAAGGGTCGTTTGACCCCCAAAGGGGTCGCAACCCACAGGTTGAGAATCGCTGTGCTAGTATAAAATAAGAGCGAGGAGCCAGTGAAAAATGGCATTGGGACATATAGGATCGAAGATTAGTTACAGGCTGCACAAGAATTACATTTTGAGGAGAATGAGGCTTTTGGCAATGAAACATGGAAATCCTAGTTTTCTTATTGCCACCTACCATTTCATACTCAAATAATGTTCTCCTTAATATTTTTATTCTACTCAATAGCTAGGTCTTTACTTTTTTTCATTGAGCAGCAGTTGAATTCAGTAGGTGCCAAGGGGAAATTTTAAAAAAAATAGCTAAAATAATCTCTAAGAATATTTATATCATCTTAATGATAGAGAGGACAGAAACAACAAAACAAAACACCTAAGTCTTTCAAAATGATTCTACTGTAACTAAAAAACAAACTGAATGCAATGTGCAGAGTGTTTTAAAACATAACTCCTCCTAAATCTAAGTACACAGGTAGCTTTAAGAATAACTCCAGTTAAAAGGCAATCTCACTAGAAATCATTAAAAAGCAAGGTAAATAAATCTTGCTTGGGCAAGTCAGTAACATGCCACACTTTCAGGTTTATGATTAGATGTTTGACTTTGCAATATCCTTTCTAAATTTAATTTTCTGGTAGAAATTGCTTGTTTCTCCTTTACTTGGGAATTTATTAACTTTGAAATTAGCTTGCAGTCAAAGGAAAACCGAAAGTTTTTTTCACTCTCAGGTTTGTAGTTAATGGTGAATAGAGAGTTGGTTTGCAGGGTAGGAGGGGAGAGTGGCAAATTAATTGAAAAAATGTAAATCATTATGCTCAGCTTAGTGAAATTTGCATGCTTCATTCCATTAGTGGAATGATAAATAAATTGTTACATAGTTTATTGGGTAGAATCCCAATAAAAGTTCTTATTCAAATGCATTTGTTTGCCCTTGCTTCCCCAAAGGACAGAATTTAGGTAGGGTTCTTTTAAAAGAAATTTCTAAGTATATATATATAGATTACCTGCATCCATTCCTTAATATATGTACTTGGCTGAAAGCATTATATAGTATTATTACTATTACTTCATTTTGTGTTAAATGAAGTTTATTTCATTTGCTGTCTTTAAAGAAAAATAATTTGTGAAAACAATGGAGAAAATAGCCAGGATGGTAGCATTTAAACAGACACAAAAGATCAACAAAGAAAATCACATTTTAAATAAAGATTAATGGGTCTTTTTGGACAAGGAAGAAACATAAGTATGAAATATAACATTATACTATGCAAACTCATAACCATTAGTCTTTTTAAGTGTATTACAGTTTGATATAAGGGTAAGCAAAAAAAAAAAAAAATCAGCCATTAAAGGTTTAGAGATAAGCAATTTTTTATAAGCTCAAACTCCAAAAAAGACTTGTTTACATGGTGACAGCAAGAGCTGTAGTGATTCTTCGAAGAAAGAGAGACCAAAGCAGGCCCGGCTCTCTAACAGAGTTTCATTTCCCATCCTGATTGGACCTTT